ATGAAAAGTCAGTCGATGGATTTGATTCATTCATTACATTCACCGACGACTACTCTCGTTATGGATATATCTATCCAATCAAAGAAAGATCTGAGGCATTAGACAAATTTAAAATTTTCAAAGCAGAAGTTGAGAATCAACATGATTGAAAGATCAAAATTGTAAGGTCTGACCGTGGTGGTGAATACTATGGTAGACATACTACTTATGGTCAAATTCCTGGACCTTTTGCGAGGTTCTTACAGGAAAATGGCATTAAGGCCCAGTACTCAGCACCAGGCGAACCCCAGCAAAATGGAGTAGCTGAAAGGCGTAATCGCACTCTTATGGATATGGTACGAAGTATGTTAAGTCACTCCACTCTGCCGGTAAAGTTATGGATGGAAGCTCTTAAAACAGCTACACACATTCTTAACAGGGTTCCTAGTAAATCAGTCCCTAAGACACCTTTTGAATTATGGACTGGGAAGAAACCAACCCTAAATTATTTTCATGTGTGGGGTTGTCCTGCTGAAGCACGAGTTTTCAATCCAAATATGGGAAAATTAGACATCAAAATAATCAGTTGTCATTTTATCGGTTATCCTGATAAGTCAAAGGCATATAGATTCTACTGCCCAAATCAGTTTACAAAGTTCATTGAGACAAGACACGCTGTGTTCTTGGAAAATGACATAATCAAGGGGAGTATGACACCCAGAGAAGTTGTTCTGGAAGAGAAACGAAATTATATTCCAATGCCTATAATTGAAGAACCCGTTTTCTCAACACATACTCATGTTGCACCTTCAATAGAAAGAAATAATGATGCAACACCTGCTGAAACTCCTGCAACTACTTCTAGTAGTGTATCAAATGATGAGAATAATGAGGATGCTCAGCAGCCCCAGATTGTGATAGATGAGCAAAATAACGAACCCGTCAGAAGATCACAACGAGTTAGAAAGTCAGCGATTCCAAGTGACTATGTCACTTACATAAATGAAGAGGTGAATAAACCTATGGGTGAAGAGGTGAATGAGCCTATACTAGATAATGATCCCATCTCATTTAAAGAAGCAATGAAGAGTAAACATTCGTCTGAATGGCTAAAAGCTATGAAAGATGAAATGAAATCCATGAGTACTAATAAAGTCTGGGACTTAGTAGAAATTCCCGAAGGAGCCAAAACAGTTGGCTGCAAATGGGTCTATAAGACTAAACGTGACCCCAAGGGAAATATCGAAAGGTTCAAAGCAAGGCTTGTAGCAAAAGGATTTACGCAAAGAGAAGGGATTGATTATAATGAAACATTTTCTCCAGTATCTACTAAGGATTCATTCAGAATTATTATGGCACTAGTTGCTCATTATGATTTGGAACTACACCAAATGGATGTTAAGACGGCATTCCTGAACGGTGATTTGTATGAAGATGTATACATGGCACAACCAGAAGGTTTTGTTATGAAAGGAAAAGAACATATGGGATGTCATCTAAAGAAATCGATTTATGGACTAAAGCAAGCATCAAGGCAGTGGTATCTAAAGTTTGACCAAATCATAAGACAATTTGGTTTTAAAGAAAATAAAAAGGATGACTGTATATACACTAAGTTTAAGGAGAGTAAGTTCATCTTCCTAATATTATATGTCGATGACATACTCTTAGCCAGTAATGATAAAAATATGCTACTGGAAACAAAGAAATTTCTGGCCTCTAAGTTTGAAATGAAAGATCTCGGTGAAGCCAATTATGTGTTGGGTATAGAGATTTACCGAGGCAGATCAAATGGTGTTTTGGGGCTATCTCAGAAAGCATATATAGAAAAGGTACTGAAAAAGTATAATATGCATAATTGTTCAGCCTCGCCTGCTCCTATAATGAAGGGTGATAAGTATGGAAAATTCCAATGTCCTAAGAATGAGTATGAAGCTGCGCAGATGAAGTCAATATCATATGCTTCAGCTGTCGGAAGCATAATGTATGCACAAGTGTGCACTCGCCCTGATTTAGCTTTTGTTACCGGGATGCTTGGCAGATATCAATCTAATCCAGGTCTAGAACACTGGAAATTAGCTAAGAAGACCTTGCGTTATCTTCAAGGCACTAAAGACCTCATGCTCACATATAGAAAGTCTGAAAACCTTGAAGTTGTTGGTTATTCGGACTCCGATCTTGCAGGGTGTGTTGATGATAAGAAATCCACGTCAGGTTATATATTCACCCTTGCAAGGGGAGCTATATCGTGGAAAAGCTCCAAACAAAGAGTTACTACATCGTCGACAATGCAGGCTGAGTATGTGGCATGTTATGAAGCTACTGGACAGGCAATATGGCTGAAAAACTTTATCCCGGGATTAAGAGTGGTCGACAGCATATCAAAACCACTCAAATTATACTGCGATAACAAACCAGCAGTATACTATGCGAGTAGCAACAAATCAAGTGCTTCTGCCAAATACATTGATATCAAGTACCATGTTGTGAAAGAAATGATCCAGGATCAGACAATAAGCATTGAGTATATGAACACTAAGTTGATGTTAGCGGATCCACTTACAAAAGGCCTACCACCTGTTGTATTTAAAGAACATGTTGCCGGCATAGGTTTGGTAGAAAAGCCTTCGATCCTGGAATAAGAAGGAACCTATATGACACTGACTCCCCATAAAACTAAGGCGGACTCATTTTGAAATTAAATAGGAACCATAGTCACTTGGTTCAGTAGTACTTAATTGGCTACTGTAATCTAGTGTCTTGATGTACTGTTTTGTTGAAAAGTGAGTCCATAAGTTTGTATAAGCCTAATGTAATAAGTTCAAAGAGCTCGTAAGATTAAAGAAGTTTATTTTAAAATATAATGGTATGCTATAGTCACTGGATTCTTTGATGCTTTATATTGGTCACTATAATCTTTTGTCTTGGTATACTATTTTATTGAAAGATGGACTTATAAGTTTAGCCTCACGATCAAGGGGGAGAATGTTAGTGTGAACGCAAAATATGATCTTGCGGCTAAACCTAAAGTCGGCAAAGAGATATTTTGTTTAGGGCGATCGCTATAGTGATCGATCTCTCATGAACATCCCTGATCGGGGGATAACCGCCATACCCTAGTGTCGGTTCCCCCTGTGTGCAGTGGCTATAAATAGAGATCAATACCTAAGTGTTAAACCCTAAGAGATTTCTCTCGCTACCCGATCAAACAACCCACTGAAACACAGGGAAGAATCAAGACACGATTCTCTTCGTGCTTCCAAACTAGAAGAGAAGAAAGAAGAACAAAGACAGAGAGAATGGGAACTCCAGGAGATCAAGGTATGATCCAATCCCATTTTAATTTATAGTTCCACTTTGTGCCAAATCGATTCTATCAAATCCAACATCCACCAGATGTGGCATAGGTTCATCATCGCAGAAGAATGGCCTAGAAGGCAATCGCAGACCATCAACATCACCTTCAAGCATCTCTATGACCTCACTCATCGTCGGCCGATCATAGGAATTCATCTGAATGCAATGCAGCCCAACAATACACAACTTCTTTTCCAGCTCATGCATATTAAAGGCACTAGTAACCACCTCACCCAACTCTTGTTGAGCCAGCTGATTATACACCCATGATGGATAATACGCTTGGCTTGAGCTCGACATATCCTGCTTAGAGTTCCTTCGCCCTCCAACCATCTCCAACAGAAGCATTCCAAAGCTATACACGTCAGATTTGCTAGATATGACACCAAAGCTCCAAGATATCATCTCAGGAGCAATATAACCTATTGTTCCTCGTGCAGCACTAACAGGCACAAAACTATTATCCTGTGGGTACAGTTTGGCAAGGCCAAAATCAGCAACTTTTGGAATGAACTTGCTGTCAAGAAGGATGTTGTGCGGCTTGATATCAAAATGTAGAATTTGCATCTCACACCCTCGGTGCAAATAGTTTATTCCTCTAGCAATTCCCAGTGCAATCTCATTGAGCTTTTCCCAAGAGAAACTCTTCTCAGGCGAGAAGATGTACTTCTCCAGAGATCCATTGGGCATGTACTCGTACACAAGTGCTCTCCTTGTTTCCTCGGCACAAAAGCCCACCAACGACACAACATTAACATGATGGATACTACCAATGGTGGAGACCTCGTTGATGAATTCTTCTCCGTCACAACTATAGTTGGCCAGTATCTTGACAGCAACATGGATATTGCCTGGGAGTAGAACACCCTTGTACACAGAACCATAGCCTCCTTGGCCGAGCTTCTCCGATCCCTGAAGTGACCTGTAATTGCAGTGATATCGGTGTAGGCATACCTCGTTGGTCCAAGCATCAGTTGCATACGAAGAAACTTGTCGACTGCGTCAATTGTTATCCTCTTCTTCCAGCACTTGTGTGCCAGGAATGTCATTACTACCAGCGGCGCCCCCCCCCCCCCCCCAACCTGAATATTACTGCATAAAAGGGAAGTTTTATACTTTACTATTGGATAGTAGAGGAGAGGAATACTGCGAATATTAGACACATTGTATTGAGCCTCAGAGGACCGGTATATATAGGAGTTTACAATTACAGATTGATGTAGGGAGAATGTGCTTGAACTTTGAAAGGCGCAACGATGCAGCAGCTAGCTGGGGTAATATGGAGTGTGTAACTATATAAATGCTCACAAATTAATTGTTGTGGGGGACACTAACTTGAATAGAGATGAGATTTGCTCCGGTCCAACAAAAAGTACCTCGAGATAGCGGTACTTCACGGCACCAAATTGTTTCCGATCGTTAGATCTAACAATGCCCGTCATGCCCAGCTAGATCCAACGATCGAAAACGTTTTGGTACCGTGAAGTACCGGTACCTCGAGTTACTTTTTGTTGGACCGGAGCAAATCTCATTTGTGAATGCCGCTAGCTGTAACAGTTTTAAAGAAGAGAATAATGACTTTAAACCATGTGAAGCTGAGTTTCGAAATTCATTCATCTAAAAAAAAAGTAAAGCTGAGTAACGAAATTATTATGGCAATGACAAACAAAAAGATGACATTTTAATATGAATTGCCAACTAGGCGTTGGAGTCAACTAATATACACAAAAAGATGTAAAGTTTAGCACAGCGTGCAGAGAAGAGCATCTTCCAAACTCCAAGGAAATACCAATAAGACAATTCTCACAGTGCAGGAAACTTGAGGATAAAAAGCTAGGCAATCTAAAACTAGAATGTAGCAATAAGGATCATCTGTTTAAGTACATATATACACGATTTCTTTACCAGCAATCCACTTGAGAAGCCACATGGCGATTATTGTTAGTAGAACGAACAATTTGACAGCTGCAGGTAATCTAGCTACACGGATTACGCATGCCATGTAACGAATGTCGAACGTCGCAGTGTCTGCCATAGTGTACTTGATGCCTGCACTAGACGCTGGTTCTTCTCGGAAATGTCTACAAAGACCATGCAAAACGAATTTAAGACGATCGAGGTCACTAGTGGGATCAATGCAAGAAAATCAATGAAACCACAGGATATATCGCAAGCTCACCGAAATGTCTCTGCCCTGCACTCCTTGAAAGAGTACGCAGCATCAATCGTGTAAGGAAACCGAACAGCGAATCCACCTCTCATTATTTTGACGACATCCTCGCAGCTTGGATTCTCTTCTAGCACTCTTGTGTCGTTGCCGTGCAAAGGAGTAATGGCCAGGTGCCCACACGAAGGCTCAAGATTATCAATATAACAAGAGTATATGCTGCCAATTAGCACGTAAACGAAGGAACGGCTGGTATTATTCAGGCAAGCGACAGGCCTGTACTTCTCATTGTTGTTTATTTCCTGCGAACAATTCACAAAGGCTGACCACCTACTTGAAGCAGGCTCCAGCTCGATATGGATGGTGTGGCAACCAGTATTCAGGGTTGTAGTTGGATAAGGTGGAACAATCCTCTGAGGAAGTGTGTTAGGTGAATCCGAGATGTTGGCATCGACAACCCAGAAGGTAGAATCACTGTAGTTGATGCCCGTCACAGAGTACGTTCCCTCGTAGATCTGAATCGTAGCCTTGTCATCGGTGCAAGTCAGCTCGTAGGATGTAAAACCGCATCCAGATGGGTCACCTCGCCGGCGGAAAGGAGACGACACGTTGCTAAGACGGCCGCAGGTGAACGGAAGGCAGTCATGCCGATGATGCTGATGCCGCCCACCTGCATCTGGGACGACAACTGCAAGCACAAACAATACAGAGATGACTCGCAGGGCGGTTGAGCGATGGAACGAACCAGGAATAATGATCGCCATGCTGGAGGCAGAAGGAGATGAATGAGAGTGGCTAGAGATGAACTTATTTTAAGACGACATGAGAGAGGCTAGAGATGAACTTATTTGGACAGAGTGAGGTAGGAGTAATACTAAAGCAATATATTCACTGTGGGCTCCTCGATAGTTAACCGTCGATGAACAACTTTCTTGTAAACTTTTTTCTCTCCATCTTAATTATATTGGATGACCTCCTTCAGTCATCCCGACAAAATATTCACCGTGGGCCTACACGACTGTGATGCTGTTGACTTGGAGGCACTTATTAACGTAGACAGGTTACATCCAGACCATCACCAGTCACTCAGCTACCCCAGGCAAGCCTTATCGACTATCGTATAACAGAGCAATTTGTATGGATACATCATACATATGGTACTCTACCAAGTTAGCTTCACGAGTTGATTCCAGTTACAACAAAAGAGAGTTCCAATGACAACAAAAGATAAATGAGTTTCATGTAGTTACACGTCTACTGGTTTATTGGATATGCAGTACACGTCTACTGGTTTACATGTAGTTACACGTCTAGCAGAAATATATACACGTTGTAGAATCTACGAACGGTCTCCGAAGGTCACATACTCACATACCTTTCTAAGCAATACAACACGGCAGAAGTTTCAGTGGCAGTTGGAATTCCTGCTCACAGACGCAGCAATCGTGACAAACACAGGATAAATCCTCACTGGAGATCATAGCAATAGGTGATCCTTTTTCTATAGCCACGGCCTTCTCTTCATCTGCCTTCCTCGCCATTACACTCCATGGACTTGCCAAAACTTCTCTTCACAGTACTCATACTCTCTCTTCTCAACTACGAATCCTCTTCCGCCACAGCATGGGATGATGAAGATTTCTTCAAGACTTGCTCATCACACAGGTGCAGCAAGCATGGACCAGAGATCAGGTTCCCTTTCCGGCTCTCGACACAACCTCCATCATGCGGCGCACCCGGCATGCACTTGTCATGCTCTGGACAGGACACCATCCTCAATCACCCAGTTCTTGGTCCCTGCAAAGTAACCGAGATAAGTTACAGTTATGCTACCATGAACGTCATCCCACCTGTAGATTCCTCACCTCACTGCCCACTTCAGAAGCTCATGTCGAAAAACCAATCAACTTCTGTGTACAAACCTCAAGGTCCTCAATCGCAGGGAGCTACCCTTGTAGTTTGTTCAAGAGATCCCATACCTGCAAATCAATACGACATAGTTGGCCCAATATCTTGCCTCGGCCATAATAACCAGTTCTGGTATTTGGCAGATCCCTATACATACATGTCTGTTCTTCCCTTGGACTGCACAGTTATTTCTAAAGGCATCCCAATGCCCTATAGTTATGATAAAAAAGGGAGAATAAACTGGGACACCTCAAACTTCAAGGAAACAGCAAATAGAGTCATCAACGATGGTGAGACAGTATTCATGTGGTACTCTAGTAACATTACTAGTATTTGCCAACGATGTGAATATGAAGGCCGACCCTGTGGTTTCAGTTCACAAAGTGGTCAAGCATTCTGTCGGCGTCATGGTATTTTTTCTCTCTCTTTTTGAAGCACAAACCCCATATCATTATGGTGACTTGTTTCATTTTCGAATAGCATTCAATATTTTTTTTCCAATTCTCAGTACGTTAGTTATCCAATCTTCTATATTCTAATACAGTGATTTCAAGCTCGATGCAATATTTTCACCTTGCAATCAAACAGTTTAGCAAAAGTGAAGGTGTACTGTGAATCACTTGATTGCTAGCTTGGATGAACATTTTAGCTCTAGGTTCACATCCGTAATGTTCTAACAGAAGCCCCTGCAAAGAGATGACAGTGTCTAAAATAATTAAATAATAATTTTCCCTTTTTCTTTCGCTTCAAACCAAAGTAACTGTTCAAAATAGTGCTTTGTTGTACACAGATTACGGTGCACTAATGAAAATTCACAAACTGTACAACGTTACATAGAAGTATTAACATTCATAAATGTTTATCTATACTAATATAAAAGATGGTAGTGGTGGTGGTGAGTCTGCCACCACCACCAGCCAACTACCATGCGGGACCCACGAAATGTGAGATAAAACTTTGATTGTTTCGTAACCCCCACATGCCATAGACCCCGTCGAAAGGAAAATATGACAATAGAATATTATGGAATTTTTCATCTTTGCGAAATGGCAGCAAAATTAGCACAATAATAATATACTAGACAATTAGAAAAAACCCGTTGCAATGCACGGACATTATGCTAGTATGATATAACACTGTTCTCTGTATTTCAGCAAAAACAAAAAAAAGAAAAGAAAAACATATGTACAATCCATTTGATGGACCTGAATTTATGTGACAACTCCAATAACTTATAAGACAAGTTGAAAGTTAATATTACTACAGTAGGAAACAATAATGTACCAGTATCATATAGACTATGACTCTATGAGCAGAGAGATTATATGGTGCCAACAGAGTAGAGATCTCACTTGATAATGCAGTGATAAGGGGTATGTGGTTTCAACCCCGAGGTCCCGTGTTCAATCCCCAGTATGCTCACAATTTCTTCTTAAAAATTTTTTGGAGGGACGTCTCTCCCTCCAAATCTCCTTTTTTTTTTGGGTGCTAACAGAGTAGAATCCAGAACATGCTTTGCAGACTGCAGTGATCTGTGAGATCATTATATTAGATATTCCATCCTTCTAAATAATTTAAACTAAAGCATTTCTCTTTTTATGGTTGGTTAAGATAAGAATCCTCCCTCCCATCCTATTCCCTTTTATGACTACTAGCTAAATGCCCGTGCTTTGCTGCGGATAAAAGGAAAAATATAACAATATTTTATAACATAAATAAATCATATTTTCCATGAAATATGTTATCCACATTTCCCCTATAGGAAAATGTGGGCTATCCACATTAATTTTATATGTGGCTATCCATTTAGATTTAGTTGTTATGTAATATTAAAAAGTTCAAAGGGTAATATGTAAAACTTGTAATAGGAGTAGGTGGGTGGAAAATTCACTGCCACCACCATTGGAATCTTTTTAAAGGAGTATAGATACCCATGCAAGTTTTAAAATTCTATACAGCAAGCCATATAAAAATCTGGAATCAGTTTTACTTTTATTTTAAAAAAACATCCTTTTTATATACAAATCAAGGGAATACTAATTCTCTTTCTTTCTACATGCAGGACCGCGGGTCACTCTTGTTGCAGGTAAGGAAATAACTCAATCTTTTGTCCATTCTGCATGAAATTTCAATTAAATGCCACCCAATTTATGAACTTTCAACAAAGAGAGTGTATATATTTTCTAATCCAAATAAGAAATGCCATGATTATCTTGACAATAAAGGCACATCTGGAAAATAAATTACAGAATTATGTCATCTCCAAATGCAGCTAACTAACTTTCTTATTTTTCAATCAGCTACATCATCTGTAGCCACATTTGTAATTCTTTCATTAGTTGTGGCCACTGCATTCTACATCTCCTTAAAGTCAAGGTACAACAAAGAGATACATTTGAAAGTTGAAATGTTTCTCAAGACATATGGCACATCCAAGCCCATGAGGTACACTTTCTCCGATGTTAAGAAAATAACAAGACGGTTCAAGAATAAATTAGGCCATGGTGGATTTGGAAGTGTCTACAAAGGTGAGCTACCAAATGGAGTTCCTGTGGCAGTCAAGATGCTAGAGAACTCCTTAGGAGAGGGAGAAGAGTTCATCAATGAAGTTGCGACCATTGGGAGAATTCACCATGCAAACATCGTCCGTCTCCTAGGATTTTGCTCTGAAGGAACACGACGGGCTTTAATATATGAATTCATGCCCAATGAATCGTTGGAGAAATATATATTCTCAAATGGTTCTAATATTTCAAGAGAATTCCTAGTACCAAAGAAAATGCTAGATATTGCTTTAGGCATCGCCCGAGGAATGGAGTACTTGCACCAAGGGTGCAATCAGCGCATTCTCCATTTTGACATCAAGCCTCACAACATATTGTTGGACTACAGCTTCAGTCCAAAGATCTCAGACTTTGGGCTTGCAAAGTTGTGCGCAAGAGATCAAAGCATTGTCACATTAACTGCAGCAAGGGGCACGATGGGTTATATTGCACCAGAACTATATTCTCGGAGTTTTGGAGCAATATCATACAAGTCGGATGTCTACAGTTTCGGCATGCTGGTGTTAGAAATGGTGAGTGGGAGGAGGAACACAGACCCAACCGTTGAGAACCAAAATGAGTTCTACTTTCCTGAGTGGATATATGAGAGAGTAATCAATGGGCAGGAACTGGTGCTTAACATGGAGACAACACAAGGGGAGAAAGAAACGGTTAGACAGCTAGCCATTGTAGCGTTATGGTGCATTCAGTGGAACCCAACAAACCGGCCCTCGATGACAAAGGTAGTAAACATGTTAACGGGGAGGTTGCAGAAACTACAGGTGCCGCCTAAGCCCTTCATTTCGTCTGAAAATCATCTTGCGACTTAGATCATGGAAACACAATTCCATGGTTTAGAGATATGTTTGATCGATCCGTAGCTTGTATGTATGGTGTAAGATTATTCAACTATATTGTGCTATCAGACATATGGTATATGTATTCATGCAATTCTAATATCCCGTGGATTTGATTTGCAGTGTGATAGTTAAAAGATGATAACTTGATTACCTTATTCTGTCATTGCTACCAGTGCACTAATCCTCCTCGCTGAGCACACATTTTTCGTACCCATCTCATCCCCACACTGCCAATCTACTAACTGTCCTTGTTCTTACCCATCCCATCCCCACAAAGGATCCTGCAGCGCAGGCAACTGATTATCTCATCTCATGTTCACTCCTGGTATTGCATAATTTAGAACAGAAAAAGAAAAAAAAAAAGCAGCACGACAAAGGGAAAAGGGGTTACCATTTAGCAAGGCACGAGCATCCGCAGGAGGTCTCGGAGAGTGTAGAATGCGGGAGGGGATTAGAGAATATGATTAAACGTGGTATCGGGCTTGTTAGAGATTCCACCGGTCGCTAGCTGCCGCCTGCGGCGCCATTGAGGAATAACCGAAGCAATTTCCATCTGCGGAATGAGCGGAGGCGACTCGCAAAATGGCAGACTGCCGCAGCAAGATTAACCGAAACTCGGCGCGCGGGGCGTGGGAATGTGGGATGGCCGGAGGACGGCGGCCGGATGGGTGGGGCTGGGCGGCGGCGGAAGGCGTAGGGAGAACTAGTGTGCTTTATCACAGGTTGGGCCCGTCCGTCTAATTCCCGTGGCCCATGAAGACGAGCTTCCTGGGCCGCATCCTTCATGATCTTCCGAGCCCAACAGGCTCCTCACAATCTCGTTAGAAATAAGTTCACTGTAGGTACCTCAACTTAACAGCGACATTTTTTAAGGTCCCTTAACCACAAAACCAGAAATCTTCACCCCTAAACTATACAAAACCGTCTAATTTAGGTCCCAAGGCAGTATAGATGGCTAGTTTCGCTGACGTGGCATCCTAGTCAGCAAAAATAATAAAATAAATATGTGGGGCCCATATGTCAGTGAGAGAAAATAATGTGGGCCCTACATCTCTTTTTTCTTTTCTTTTTCTCTTCTCTTCTCAACTTCTCACGCGCAGGCGGGTGTGCGGGCGCGGCCGCCGGCGCTGCGGGCTCTGCGGTGCACGGGGAAGAAGCGGGAGAGGGGGAGAGGAGGCGGCCGGCACCAGAGAAGGGGAGAGAGGCGGCCGGCGCGAGGCCCGCGCCGAGGTGGAGGGCATGGGCGCCCCGGCGCTCCCCGCGCGCCACCGCCTGCGCGTGGAGGGGAACCGGTGGCAGCGGGACTGGAAGTTGTCGGAGGCCGCCGCGCGCCTAGGCCGGCGCCGTCTACGTGCTCAACTGCTGGGCTGGCCGCAACTTCCCTCTCCTCATCCGCGTAAGGGCATCATCCCACGCTCTGTAGTATTTCATGAATTGAATTGCGGATGATATACATCGATGTGGCTGTCATGGTTGCGTTCTTATGATTTGCCATCACGCACGAAGTTATTGATTGCTTGAAATTACAAAAAGCGACAACAATTCTATCAATCTAGCTGTGTTGTTCATTCATCCGCCGACTCCGCTCTCCGCCGCCGCCGCTCCGGCTGCTTGCCGCCGACAGCCCCACGTCGTCGTCGTCCATCCCGCTCGACCCTTCCCTACTAATCCTCATGCTCGCCGTCGAGCCCTCTCCCGGCGCTCCCATCGGCGCACGCATCCACCCCGGCCGCTCTCCTCCGCATCCTCCGCCGGTGTCGCACCGAGGAGGTGCGCCGCGCCGTGGAGGCGGCTTGGCTGGCGACAGCGAGGTTGCCGCTTGCCCGCTCACCTGCCGCGGCTCCGGATGGGGAGAGGCGGGCGCCGGCCACTGCTCCCGCCGTCGCGGGCGGTCGCGCCGTCCACCTCCTCTCCCCATCTCCCGCTTCTTCCCCGCCGCTCTGCCGTCGGCCGCCATCTGCCCGCATGCGCGTGAGAACTGACGGTCTGTTTGGTTTTGAGGCAGTTTTTAGGAGGGACCGGGAGTTTAGAGGGATGAGGCTATTAACTGTTTTGTTTGGTTGAGGGACATGAGAAATTTGGTAGGATGGAGATGGGGGATTGAGGAATGAACTCCCTCCTTTTCAATACCTGGGTAGGGGTAGGTAATTGGGAGGGAATTCCTCCTTTACTTCGCCTAAACAAATCTCAGCCATCCGTTTTCATTAATGATTTAATCTCCAACTAAACTCCTTATCAATTTCCACCACCTCTACCAAACAAGAGACTGGGATGAAAAATCAAATTCACATCTTAATCTCACCATCAATTCCCTCGTGTAAACTCCCAATCCCCTTCCCTCAAGTTGCCAAACAAGCCATGAGAAGAGAAGAGAAAGGAAAAGAAAAAAGAGATGTGGGGCTCACATCATTTTCTCCCCCTGACATGTGGGCCCCCACATATTTATTTTATTATTTTTGCTGACTAGGATGCCACGTCATCAAAACCAGCCATCTATACTGTCTTGGGACCCAAATTAGACGGTTTTGTATAGTTTAGGGGTGAAGATTTCTGGTTTTCCGGTTAAGGGACCTCAAAAAATCTCGCTGTTAAGTTGAGGGATCTCCGGTGAACTTATTCCATCTCGTTACATCCCAATGCGTTAGTTAACAAACAGGGATTGGAGGGGGTAATCCTAATGGGCGGGTGATCGCTCCCTCCCCTCCCCAGCGATCACCCGCCCCTCCCCCTTACTACTTTACCTCCCCTTCTTCTCTTAATACTACACCATAAAAATTAAAATTCAAATTCAAATTTGAAACGGGCACGTAAACTTTTTACTTATAAACTTTGGGTCTATAAACTAATATTTGAATTCAAATTCAAATTCAAATTTGAAATGGGTATGTAAACTTTTGACCTATAAACTTTGGGTCTATAAACTAATATTTGAATTTAAATTCAAACTTTAGCTATATAAAATTTAGATGTATAGAAATACTATATATAGAAAATATTTATATTTGAATTCAAATTCAAATTTGAATCGGATATAATTCAAATTCAAATTTGAATCGGGTATGTAAACTTTTGACTAATAAACTTTAGATCTATAAACTTTAGGTGTATAAACTTTAGATGTATAGAAATACTATATATGAAAAATATTTGAATTCAAATTCAAATTTGAATATGATATTTGAATTCAAATTTAAATTTGAATCGAATATATAAACTTTAGATCTATAAACTTTAGGTCTATAAACTTTAGGTGTATAAACTTTAAATGTATAGAAATACTATATATAAAAAAATATTTGAATTCAAATTCAAATTTGAATCAGATATATAAACTTTTGGTCTCTAAACTTTAGATGTGTAAACTTGAGGTGTATAAACTTTAGGTGCATAAATTTACTAAAATAGAAAAGTAATGCGTTGCCAAAAAGGGAAACCAGGTGGAGGGAGGGGGGTGGGAACCGATCGCCCTGAGCGAGCGAGGGCGATCGCTCGCCCAGTAGCATTTCCTGGAGGGGACCTGTTTGGGAGCTTCTCACAGAATTTAGCTCCTCCAATGGTTCAGATTGTCATCCAAATTTTGAAAATTTGTAGTTGTAAAAACTGGTTACCAACCAGCAGGTTTTCATAATCTTAAGCTCCCCAAATATGATTTAAATCCACGTCTATCATGGTGTGAAATTGTTCCCCCTTAATTCCCTCAAATCATCTTCAATCTTTTCCAAACCGAATAAGGCCTAAGAAGAATCTGGAGCTATGTCCTGGTGGGCTTCCTTTGCTGTTGAGGTGGGCTATTAATCTTCCTAAGGCAAACCAAATTGTGTAGAGAATGTTGACACCGAATCGTGACTTCATACATTGAGCACATTATGTGCAACTCGCAGCAGCACCCAGAAAATGTACCGCCGTAGGGACAATAGAACACCCCGTTTGGTACATACCACCAAACGAACACCCAGGAGGGACCCCCATCAAGATGAATGCATGCTGGCTTATCCTAGGCTCGGTAGGCTAGCTAGAACATCCTCTAAAGCCGTAGAGACAATAGACATTGAGCGATTAGGGGATTGTATGAGAATAGTAGTTGGGACAGATAACAAGAAGGTAGAAGATGTAGAATATAGAGAGTTCGTATAATAGATTGATTTTGATGATTGATCGATTATTTTTTCAATCGACAATGGCCTCCTACATTTTACAGGAGGGATGGACTTACTTCCTAGGGTTTTTTCCACGTTCATTTAGGTGTAAAAACCAATTAATACTAAAATCTCAGGCCTTGGCAAGAAAACCCGAGAATCGGACTCGGAGTCGAACTCTACCGATCTGAGCGGCTAGATACCTCCGGTCAGACCGCCCCCCTGCGGTCTGACTGACCCTATGGCACCAGTCAAACCGGCCTCGCGTAGCATGCCCAGATTCTTTCCAAAATTGACTGTATTTTCCTATTTTTACTTTAGGTGCTAAATTTAGGTATTGAGAGAGTTTGTTGCAAAGGAAGATATAGACCATACAATTATTGTGTGGTATTAATAAAGCTTAACATAGGTCTTAAAAAAAACTATATAAGATCAATGTTCTGATATAGTAACAGCTATCTAGCTTTCTTGCACCTATTTCCATTAATAGAAATGTAAACCTTACAGACAAGAAAGAGAAAAAAAAAACAAAGCAGAGCTAATCTCAGTTCTTGGCCTCACTTTTCTTCTTCTTCTTTTTTACTTTGACCAGCTATCTAGATTGTGTCAGGTGCCATCCCACCCTTCACAAGAGCTAGGCACCGTAAGTCTTACAGGCACAAAACACGTGCAGGATAGGACCAAGCAATGTTTCCTCATAGACCTACAGATTTCCTACACAGCCCCAAGCACCGTTCTCAGAAAAACAGACAAAGACATCCCAGGATCACCACACAGCAAAATAGCAAATGAACACTTCGATTATAACCTAGTTACTAGCGAATTCAATTGCGCCATCGTCCTCCGAGATGGCAGTCAGCTCTGAGGAATGAAGGTATGAATCCATCACATTAGGCATAAAATCCCCATCACAAAAGAATGGCCTAGGAGGCACTTGCAGCGCATTGACATCCCCTTCGAGCATCTCTATGGTCTCGCTCATTGTCGGCCGATCGTGTGATTTCATCTGAATACACCATAATCCAACAAGGCACAGCTTCTTCTGCAGCTCATGCATGTCAGCAGCACCTGATGTCTCACCAACTTGTTCACCTGTTAGCTGCCCATACACCCATGATGGGTAGTATGACTGACTTGCATTTGGATTTGTATTTGGATCAGCGTTTCTTCTTCCTCCAGCCATCTCAAGTAGCAGCATTCCAAAGCTATAAACATCACACTTGCTAGATATGACGCCAAAGCTTCGCGACACCATCTCTGGAGCTATATAACCCACTGTTCCTCGTAATGCCCTGTCTGATACAAAACTTTTGTTCCTCGGGTACAATTTAGCGAGGCCAAAATCTGCGACCTTTGGAACAAAGTTATCATCAAGAAGGATGTTGTGCGGCTTAATGTCAAAGTGCAAAATCTGCATATCACACCCTTGGTGCAGGTAGTTGATCCCCCTAGCAATGCCTATAGCAATCTCATTAAGCTTGTCCCACGAGAAACTTCTCTCGGATGAAAAGATGTACTTATCTAGAGATCCTTGAGGCATGTATTCGTAAACAAGGGCCCTTCTCAATTCTTCGGAGCAGAACCCCACTAGACGCACAACGTTAACATGGTGGATCCTACCAATTGTAGATACCTCACTGATGAACTCTTCCCCATCGTAGGTGGAGGCGCCATTCAACATCTTCACGGCAACATGGACATCCCCGGAGAGTAGCACACCTTTATATACAGATCCATAGCCTCCTTGCCCTAGCTTATCTCTGAAATGGCTTGTAACTGCAGTGAGATCTGTGTACGCGTACCTCGTCGGACCCAGAACCTGCTGCATCTGTAGGAACTTCTCAACTGCATCAATTGCTAACCTTGTTTTCCAATACTTGTGGGCAAGGAAGGTCAATATCGCTAGCGGCACCAACACGAACCTGCATAGCACTGCATAATACATACAACGTACTGGAGTAAGTAGTAACCGAGAGAGGCTGAAACAATTAATTAGGAAAAAGGAGCTACTACATCCATCCCTAAAAGGGTGGTTTGCTAAAAAGACACTCTTTTAGGGATGGATGTAATGGTTCGGACTATATAACACTCTCATTGGATATTCCTGTATATGTGGTTCTATAAACTCTGGCATACCAGCTATGCACTTGACAATCCACATGCCAAATGCTATTAGGATGCCTGATGGATATCCAATCAAGCAGAACCAGAAATGGAGGTCAATAATAGAGATGACAATAAGCCGATCACTGATGGCAGTGCCTGTACTAGACCTTGGTTCTATTCCATTGCGCAATTCGCTGCAGGTAGAGAAAAAGGAATCAAAGAGGGGAGCCAGGGAGTACACAATACATATACGAGTATAAGACATATCTAATGGATCCCAAATCAACTCACCTTATCGAATCCATTAGGCACTCGTTGATACTCCCGGCCCCATATATGCGCGGAAATCTAATGGCGAATCCTTCCCTCATGAACTTTTTGACATCTTCATAGCTCGCATTCCTAGGCACTGTCGTGCTCCAATCACCCAGAAGAGTCATGGCCAGGTATCCACAAGAAGGCTCCAGGCTTTCGATGTAACCAGGGTTGTCTGAATCACTTGATAATAACACATAGATAAAAGAATAGTTGGAGCTTGCGCAAGTGACAGGCCTGTATATACCATTGTCCTTCACCTCCCGTGAGCATCTAACAAAGTAAGCATGATTATATGCACCAGGAGCCAACTCGATCTCAATCCTGTGGCCTGAGACTTTGCGCTTGTACTGATCAAGAAGATGATTCCACTGCGGAAGAGGGCAAGTGCTACCGGCTATGTTGGCGTCGACGACCCAAAAGCGTCTGTAGTCGTAGTTGATTTCATTCACATGGTATGTTGCATTGTCAATGAGAATTGTAGCATTGGTATCACTGCAGACCAGCTCGTAAGATTTGCTGCCGCACCCAGGTGGATCAGCTGCCCGACGGAATGGAGCCGATACACCCTTAAGATGGCCGCAAGAGAAAGAAGGACACTTGTGATGCCTTCCTTCAACATGATCCAGTACAAGACTCACAACCACAAATAAGATACCAGTAGCTAAAGCTTGCACGGCATGAGCATATGCTCCAGGAATCGCCATGGCAGATAGACTCTTGGGAGGGATGAACAAGATTTTGCCACATTAAGTAGGGCGATTACTCTACAAGATTGTGATGTTTTTTTTTTCAGGAATACGCAAGGAGCGCATCTTTGTATTAAGAGGAGATTGTGATGCTGTTGACTCGAGATTGAGATGTTGTTGACTTGGAAGTTTTGATTCACAAAACTACAATACTTTAGCACTCAATTCCTGCCCAATTTTTTCGTACCCTCAGTAATAATAGGCTGCAGATAACTGGAACAGCGCCATATGTAAGTTCCATCCACTGGTGGAATCACCCTCTGCAGTCACTTAGCTATCAAGAGTTCATGGCAAATCTTATCGTGATTCAGCACATGCTGCCTTTCCATGTCACCTCAGTAGATTTGATCTTAGCACAAAATGTATAAGTTCCATTTGGCATTTACAAGTCTTCTGGAATAAGAAAGGAAAAACGAGGACATCCACAGGCCAAAAATGAAAAGAATATTGTAAACAGTCTAAACCACAGAATTTTTCTAACCAGCAAAACACGGCAGAAGTATCATTGGCTGCTGAATTTCCTTCTCTACCACTCCTGAGTGGATATATGAGAGTAACCAATGGGCAGGATCTGGTATTTACCATGGAGACATCAGAAGGGGGCACTATGGTGCATTCAGTGGAACCCAAAAAATCGACCCTCAATGACAAAGGTGGTAAACATGTTAACAGGGAGGTTGCAGAATCTATAGGTACCCCCCCCCCCCCCCCCAAAAGCGTTTTATTTCGTATCAAAATCATCTTGTGATATAGATCATGGAGAAGGCATACCCATGGGTTGGTACATGTGTGAGATATATATGCTGAATCCACGTATTCTTACTGAGATATCCTAGCATGTAAGTATAGTGCTTAATCATTCAAAATATTGGGAACTCGAACCAGACATATGATCACTATGTATTCATGCAATTCTAATAGTCAGCAATATATCCAGTGCAATATACTACCTAATTCTGCAATTCCTACCAGTCCAGTAATAGTCCTCGCTGAACACCGAGATGTTGCTGCTGCATTTTCTAACCCATCCCACATCCACAAGAGTATTCTGCAGAACATGAAACTAATAGTGACATGTTTGCTCCTGGTACTGCATAATACCCAGGCAGGAGGCTCCCCACGGTCTAGAATGTGGGAGGCGGAGGTGTTGTGATGGACCGAGAGGAGATGATAAATGTGGCGTCGGGCTTGGTAGAGATTAGACAAATCGGTGCCGTCAGCGGCGCCACCATTGATGATCTGAGGACACACGGCTGCAACAACAGACGACGATGAGGGCGACGGCGAGGCATGGTCGCAAAGCTACCGGGAGGAAGCGGTTTACTCATCTGCCAACGGAGAGGACGAGCGGCGGCGGAGGCGTAGGCAGGCCGCAGCCGCCGGAATGCCGGATTAACCGGAGCGCGCCGGCGGGGATGCGGCGGAGGGAGGGGAAGGGGAAGGGAAATCACGTTCCGGGCCGATACCGTTCTTCTGGGCCGACAGCTTCAGCCCTAAAATGTTTCAGCCTACTAAAGCTGCAAGGCCAGAAGGAGACGCCGCGGGGACAGGCCTGCAATGCATACATGCAAGGCCTTCTCCCATAGTGGGCTGCATTGCAGTTTATGTGGGCCTTACTGATCTCCTCTTACAAAAGGATTCGGCCCACCCACAAGCTTAATCAGGCACGACCCGATCATTACCGTGGGCCTTCATCCAGCCACTATCATCCAAACGCAGCGATGATAGACACCATATCTAATTTTACGATTTTGCTATACATCTCACGGGTGATTTTTTTTGACTGATATTTCATGTTTTTCTATCCATAGGATCCCTCGCTAGGATTTGTGCAATAATTGGTGGAGGCTGCATACGTGGATAATACCATGCGTCGGATGGTAGGCCTGGTTCTTTTCACTTTACAAATTTTTGAAACTATAAAATAAAAAATAAAATACAAAATTATAGTCCTATATAACTAAAATTACATGTGCATATTAGGTTGATATGACATGTAAGCACACTGTAATTTTGATAAAAAATATTGTGTAAGTAGATATGTATTGATTATTTTCTTTAAAATATAAAATTATAGTCATATATAACTAAAATTACATTTGTAAATTTAGTTGATATGACATGTAAGTACACTGTAATTTTGATAATTCTTTAAAATATAAAATTATAATCCTATATAACTAAAATTATATTTGTAAATTTAGTTGATATGACATGTAAGTGCACTGTAATTTTAATAAAGATGTTGTGTAAGTAGATATGTATTTATTATTTTCTTTAAAATATAAAATTACAGTCCTATATAACTAAAATTATATTTGTAAATTTAGTTGATATGATATGTAAGTGCACTGTAATTTTGATAAAAATATTGTGTAAGTAGATATGTATTAGTTATTCTCTTTTGTAGTCAATTGGATGTAAATCTAAGGGTAGAAAAAATTTGGGTGATTTTTGGTTAGAAATCACCTGACAAATGGATAAACAGTTCCAGAAAAATTTTATTTTTTATTTTTGCACAGAAATGCGTAAATAGATCGAAAGGAAGTAACATCACATCTCAAGTTCTGATACACTGATACACTGTGTGTTTGGTTTATTGATTAGTGGAGGAGGCTTGCAGCTCTGTACCTGTGCCGCTGCGCGTGCTATGCTTTCCTCCTGTGGTCAGAGTCGTCAGACAAACATAAACAGGGGGTGTACAGTGAATTTGTTAGTCATACATGAATATATTGGATATTTGGATTACAGCTCCCAGCGATAACAACAGGCGCTACTAGGCTGTCCAAATCGTGGCATTTCATTTCAGCAAAAACAGGTCCATATATCTCTAGGTCTCGGAGACTTGATCATCACTATCGGAATGAGCTCTGGCGTGCTCATGCAGCACGCACACCACAGAAATGCACCGGCCAACAACACATTTGGCCAATGGCCACACATAACGATGGCATCCCAATCACAAAGTTATGATAAACGAAAGCTTCCCCCTAGTTCACGGCAAAGAAATTACCCGGTCAGTCAAAGGCAATCAGCTGTCTCCTGCCGCTATCCACACTAACCTCTGGAGTCAACACCTCCAGCTCCAGGGCTGTGTTGATCCGAATGTCACAGCAAAGCAGAGAACAAATTAGGAATGGATTAAGTAGCACCTTTTTTCAGCTATCATTCAGTAGCACTTTCTATAACATATAGCTTCTTTCGTTTGTAAACAAACAAATAAGTGTACAAGAAATATATCACTAGTTCTAAGAAAAAGAAATATATCACTGTTTACAATTATTTCTAGCTTCAGCATTTTACAAGCAAGCTACTAGCTGATTTGGCATCAAAACATGCACAAGTTTCACTCATCCTCCTCTAAGATTTCACTTAGCTCGGAGGAGAATTGGTGAGAATTCACCGCAAGTGACACGGGTTCATCATCACAGAAGAATGGTCTTGGAGGCATCTGCAGGCCAACAACGCCACCTTCAAGCATCTCTATGACCTCGCTCATCGTCGGCCGATCGTGAGATTTCATCTGGATGCAATGCAGCCCGATTATGCACAGCTTCCTCTCAAGCTCATGCATGTTAGCAACAGTACCAGCAGGTATCTCACCAACACCTACTTGCTGCTCAGTTAGTTGGTCATACACCCAAGATGGGAAGTAGGTCTGATTTGAGTTCTCTGCATACATGTCTGAGTTTCTTCTTCCTCCAGCCATCTCCAGTAGCAACATTCCAAAGCTATAGACATCGGATTTGCTCGATATGATTCCGAAGCTTCGAGATATCATTTCAGGAGCAATATAACCTATTGTTCCCCGTAAAGCACTGAGCGGCACAAAACTTTGGTCCCTGGGGCACAATTTGGCAAGGCCGAAATCAGCAACCTTTGGAACAAAGTTGACATCAAGAAGGATATTGTGTGGCTTGATGTCAAAGTGGAGTATCTGCATATCGCAACCCTGATGAAGGTAGTTGATCCCCCTAGCAATGCCCAAAGCAATTTCATTGAGCTTATCCCATGAGAAACTTCTTTCAGATGAGAAAATGTACTTGTCCAACGATCCCCGTGGCATGTACTCATAGACAAGCGCCCTCCTTATTTCCTCTGAACAAAAACCAACAAGATGAACTACATTGATGTGGTGGATCCTACCGATGGTGGAGACCTCACTGATAAACTCTTCGCCATTGCAGTTAGAGTTTCCTAGCACCTTCACAGCCACGTGAGCATTGCCTGGAAGGAGAACACCTTTGTATACAGAGCCATAACCTCCTTGGCCGAGCTTCTCCCTGAAGTGACCTGTGATTGCAATGAGGTCAGTGTAGGCATACCTTGTTGGACCATTCATTAATTGCATCCGGAGGAACTTCTCTACTGCATCAGTTGTTATCCTTATCTTCCAGTAATTGCGTGCTAAGAAGGTTAATATCACCAGGGGCACCAAAATGAACCTGCAAAATACTGCATAAAAAATAACTTTATATTTAACACATACTGTACTATACATTGCTCTAGGGAGAATGTGCTTATTAAAGTTTAAAAGTTTCCACGATGCAAGTGAATTTAGCAATGTGGCCAGCGCACTGTGAGATGCGTACAGAAATTTTCTAAATATTTGACGCCGTTGACTTTTTTAAATATGTTTGACCGTTCGTCTTATTTAAAAATTTTAAGTAATTATTAATTATTTTCCTATCATTTGATTCATTATTAAATATACTTATATGTATACATATAGTTTTACATATTTCACAAAAGTTTTTGAATAAGACGAACGGTTAAACATGTGCTAAAAAATCAACGGTATTAAATATTTAGAAACGGAGGGAGTAACAATGAGGATTATTTGTTCTTAAGTATACATGGTTCTTTACCAGCAATCCACTTCAAAGTCCACATGGCCAGTGGTATTACACCCACGATCAGTTGGACAACTGGATGAGGAAGCAGGCAACCCCAGAAATGATAGTCAAATATCACAGTGTAGAAAATCCTGAAAGACGTTGGTCGTTCCTCTTGGACGATATTTCTGCAGAGACAATATAATGTAAAGCGTAAAAAAAACAATATAATGTAAAATGAACTTAAGATGCCCCCGAGCAGTTTCTGAGCAGATAAGCAAGAGAAATCCATGCATATATAAAAAATCGACTAAAAGAGAAATAATGAAACCACATGCAGGATGTCGCAAACTCACTGGAATGACTGTGCTATGCACTGTTTGATTTTGGAGGAGTAGACATAAAAACGACTTGTGTATGGAAACCGAATGGCAAATCCACCTCTCATTAGTTTGACAACATCGGCGTAGCTTGCATTCTCTAGCACCAGTGGGCGGTCGCCGGCACCCAGAGGAGTCATGGCCAGGTACCCACAGGAAGGCTCGAGACTCCCAATAGAATCAGAGTTCATGCCAGTTAGCACGTAGACGAAGGAGCTGTTGGTGCTCATGCAAGCAACAGGCCTGTACTTGCCATTGCTCTTCAGTATTTCCTGCGAACATGTCACAAAAGTAGCTGTAGTGCTCTGATAAGGTGGCATCAGTTCAGCTTGGATGCTGCGGCGGCGGGAGTCTTCTCCATGCCGCTCGTATAACATTTGGTCGTAGTAACCGAAATCGCGATTCCAGCGAGGAAGAGGGCAATTGTTACGTGAATCCGAGATGTTGGCGTCGATGACCCAGAAGGTAGAATCCTTGTACTTGATGTCCATCACAAGGTATGTCCCGTTGTCGATCTGAATCGTAGCCGGCTTGTCGTCGGTGCAGGTCAGCTCGTAGGACGCAACGCCGCACTCCGGCGGGTCACCTCGCCGGCGGAACGGGGGCGACACGTCGCTGAGATGGCCGCATGAGAACGGAGCGCAGCCATGCCGATGATGCCGTCCAGCTGCATGTGGGACAAGAACTGCAAACACAAACTGGACAGAAACGAAGACTTGCAGCGCAGTTGGGTGACAGAACGAACCAGGGATCGCCATGGGATGGATGAATCACACGCATAGCAATTAATTAGCTAGTACTACTGTACTAGCAAGTAGTAAAGCAATATATTCACCTTGGGCCTACATGACTGTGATAGTGTGATGCTGTTGCATTGGGTTGTGCACTTGTGCTTGTGTGGTTAGCATGTGGCTTTGGTTGTGTATTTTGATGCTGTTAGATAGATCTCCCTTCCCTTGAACCCAACGGTACAAGGGGGCCTTGACCCGCGCCCTGATCGGGGGTGCTTAGCCCAATGGCTGGTGGGCCCCGTCACCCTGCGCCATATAAACAGGGGTGGAGGCCGGGGTGCCACATGACACGAGGTTCGTTGCTGCCGCCAACTCCACCCATAAACCCTAACCGATCGAGGGTGGGCGCAGCCAGTGACGGGAAGTCTCACCGCCGCGCCACGCCTCATCGTCGCCTATGACTGCCGCTGCCGCAATCACTGTCGCCGTCTCGACCACCATCGCCGCCGTCCACGTCAAGCCCGCAACGACAACGACGATGTCCGGCACCTCTTCCTCCACGAACACCTCAACCGGTCGGTATCTCAACCTCTCTCTTTCCATCTATATTGATGTTCATCCACCCAAATAAATCCACCCGACTAGATCTAAATCTAGGTGATCCTAGAGAGAACCCGAACCCTAACAGATGCACCTCCAATATCGACAATTTCTATCGAGTTTTTCTTGTAAATTTATTTCTTCTTAATATACTTGGATGGCCTCTTTCAACCTTCCCGGCAAATTCACACCTGTGATTACCCACCACCGGCCAGTCACTCTGCTACTCCAAGCCATGCCAAATTCACCCGTTGATTTCAGTACCAACACGCTAAAAGCGAGTTTCTTTTAATTTTTTTTTACAGAAATGCATAAAAAGATCGAAAGGTGACATCTCAAGTCACCAACATACTGATGCACTGTTCGTTTGGTTCATTGAAGTGAAGGCTTGCAGCTGTGCACCTGTTCGTGCTATGCTTTCAGCTTTCGTGCGGTCAGACAAACATGACAAGGGTGTGTACAGTGTACTGGTCAGTCAGACATGAACAATTGCTAGTACTCCCAGCGGTAACAACAGGCACTACCAGTCTACTAGGCTGTCCGAATCGCGGCATTTCCTCATCTCGGAGAGACGAAGGCTTGACCATCACTATCGGAATGAGCTCTGACGTGCTCATGCGCAGCACACACCACAGAAATTACAACAGCCAAACAACACATGTGGCCAATTTTCACACATAACGAGATAACATCCCAATCACAACTTTATGATAAACGAAAGCTTCCATCCAGTTCACGGCAAAGAGATTACTCATCATAAATAAATAGTGTACAATAAAATATATCACTGTTTACAAATATTATTTCTAGCTTCAGCATTTTACCACCTACCTACAAGCTACTGTAGCTACTAGCTTAGCTGATTTGGCATCAAAACATGCACAAGTTCACTCGTCCTCCTCTAAGATTTCAGTTAGCCCAGAGGAGAATTGGTAAGAATCCATCATAGGTGACATGGATTCATCATCACAGAAGAATGTTCTTGGAGGCATCTGCAGGCCAACAACGCCACCTTCAAGCATCTCTATGACCTCGCTCATTGTCGGCCGATCGTGAGACTTCATCTGGATGCAATGTAGCCCTATGATGTACAGCTTCCACTCCAATTCATGCATGTCAGCGGCAGTAGCATCAGATATCTCACCAGCACTCACCTGTTGCTCGGTTAGCCGGTCATACACCCACGACGGGTAGTAGGCCTGACTTGAGTTCTCTGCATGCATGTCTAAGTTCCTTCTTCCTCCAGTATCTCCAGCAGCAGCATTCCAAAGCTATAGACATCGGATTTGCTCGATATAACGCCAAAGCTTCCAGATATCATTTCAGGAGCAATATAACCTATTGTTCCCCTTAAGGCGCCGAGCGGCACAAAACTATTGTCCCTTGGGTACAGTTTGGCGAGGCCGAAATCAGCAACCTTTGGAACAAAGTTGTCATCAAGAAGGATGTTATGTGGCTTGATGTCATAGTGCAGTATCTGCATATCGCATTCTCCATTATGAACATGACTCAAACTTTCATAAAGATAAAAACAAACAAGTCCACATGGCGGACTCTTACCATATCTCTAATTCAAACTGACATTAAATATTCTAATTAATAGATACAATTTCCTTAAATGAGCTCAATCTCTAAACGGCAATGTCAGTTATTCCAATCTAGGCCCATGTCGAGCCCAAGTCAAGTTGTATCGGCTGCTTGCCATATCGGCTTAATCATATTCCGACTCTGTTTCCAGCCGATGCGCAGTCCGTTTCTGGCAAGATCCAATCTTCAATTTTGCCTCGATATCCAACTCCAAATCTGAGTCTATCTTGCCAAATTTCACTGTTAACACCTAGCTACTGGCTAATTTAGCTATTCCATCGCCCTCTTCTGAAATTGCAGTAAGCTTGGAGGAGTGAAAGTAAGAATCCATGACTTGTGGAGGTGGCATGCCATTGCCAATGCCATCCCCATCGCAGAAAAATGGTCTCGGGGGCACTTGCAGCGCATCCACACCCCCTTCGAGCATCTCTATTGCCTCACTCATCGTCGGTCGATCGTGTGATTTCATCTGAATGCACCACAGCCCAACAAGGCATAGCTTCCTCTCCAGCTCATGCATGTTAGCAACATTTGATATCTCATCAAATTGTTGATCTGCTATTAGCTGGTCATAAACCCATGATGGGTAGTACGCCTTACTTTTACTTGAATCTGCATTTGGGTCCACGTTTCTTCTTCCTCCAGCCATCTCAAGTAGTAGCATTCCAAAGCTATAAACATCTGATTTGCTGGATATGACACCAAAACTCCGGGATACCATCTCAGGAGCCATATAACCCACTGTTCCCCGTAAAGCCCTGTCCGGCACAAAACTCTTGTCCCTCGGGTACAGTTTAGCGAGGCCGAAATCAGCAACTTTCGGAACAAAGTTATCATCAAGAAGGATGTTGTGTGGCTTGATATCAAAGTGTAGAATCTACATATCACACCCTTGGTGCAAGTAGTTGATCCCCCTAGCAATGCCTAGAGCAATCTCATTGATCTTGTCCCATGAGAAACTTCTCTCAGACAAGTAAATATACTTGTCTAGAGATCCTCTAGGCATGTGTTCATAAACTAGGGCCCTTCTCATTTCCTCGGAGCAAAACCCCACAAGACGCACGACATTAACATGGTGAATCATGCCTATGGTGGCAACTTCACTGATGAATTCTTCTCCATTACAGTTGGAGTTGCCATTCAGCATCTTGACAGCCACATGGAGATCACCCGGGAGCAGCACACCCTTGTATACAGAGCCATAACCTCCTTGGCCAAGCTTCTCTCTGAAATGGCCTGTGATTGCAGTGATATCAGTGTAGGCATACCTTGTCGGTCCGAGCATTTGTTGCATTCGGAGAAACTTCTCAACTGCATCAATTGTAACCCTTGTTTTCCAGTACTTGTGTGCAAGGAAAACCAATACAGCCAAGGGCGTCAACAGAAACCTGCATGTTGCTGTGTAGACAAGTTTGATCAACTGGAACCAATAAACTGCAATTTAAGCCTATATAATTCTGATCGACGACTTACCTGCAATCATCTTCCAGATCTGCAAGGCATATGCTATTACATATAACATTATACCCAAAGGCATACGGTAACGTGATGGAATTTGATGAACGGGTATGCAGAGCAGGAAATTTGTATCCGCCGAAAGAATGGTACCAAACCAATTGGTTTTGCCTGTACTAGTCGATGCGCTGTATGGAAGAACAAAAACGTCTGATATGATATCAAGAGCAGATATGCATCGATATTTATGTGAAAAATAAAGGTGTACAGACGTCAAGATCAGTAACTTACGGAATCGAATCCATTGGGCATTGCTTAAAGCTTCCAGTACGATATCTGAAAGGAAATTGGACTCTGAATCCTTTCCTCATAGATTTTACTACGTCTGCATAGCTTAAGCTTAAGCTTTCATTTACTGGTGCTACACTGTCCCGACCACCCAAAGGAGTCATGGCTAGGTACCCACAAGAAGGCTCAAGGCTCTGAATAAGAGCAGATTTTTGGCCAGTTAACACATAAACGAAGGATCTGCTGGTGCTCAGGCAAGCGACAGGCATGTACATAATCCAGCTACTATTCTTTATTTCCTGCGAACAATTGACAAAGCTAGCTATCCTAGTCCATAGAACCTGGAACCTGGGCTCTCGAAGGGAATTCCATCGAGGAAGAGGGCAACTGCTAGGTGAATCCGAGATGTCAGCATCAACGATCAAGAAGGTAGAATCAGTGTAGTTGATGCCCGTCACATAGTATGTTCCGTTGTCAATCTGAATTGTAGCCTTGTCATCGGCACAATTGAGCTCGTACGACAGAACTCCGCACTCAGATGGGTCACCTCGCCGGCGGAAAGGAGACGACACGCTGCTAAGATTACCACAGGTGAACGGAGGGCAGCCATGCCGATGATGCCGCCCACCTGCATCTGGGACAAGAACTGCAAGCAAACACAGGACAGAAATTACCCGCAGGATAGCAGTAGTAGAGCAATGAAACACACCATGAATCGCCATGCCAGGTGGGCTTGTGCAGAGCCGGATCTAGATGGCCAAATGACATGAACAATAATACAAAGAAATTTTTTTTTAGCTACCTGTCCTTGACTGTGATGCTGTTGACTTGGAAACACTCGACAGAAGCGGAAGAGTCCAAGCGCAGCATTCAGTTCCAGCATTAGTCAGTCATGCATGGTTATTTATTGCTGAAAAAGACTGGACTAGTAGAAATACGGCTGTGTTTAGTTCAGTGCAAAGTTTGGATTTTGGTTGAAATTAGAGATGATGTGACTGAAAAGTTGTGTGTGTATGATAGGTTGATGTGATGGAAAAGGACCGAAGTTTGGATCCAAACTTTGGATCTAAACACAGCCGTATAATCATATAGACTCACAAAGTCAACAAATACAGCCACTGGAAGTTCCACCAACAGCTGCAATTACCCGTCAACAAACCTTTAAAAAAGATTATCACCAGTCACTCCACTACCACCACAGAGCTTCACCATGTCAACTTCACGAGTTGATTTCAACATCACCAAAAGAAAAAAAAACAAGTCGGAATAAAATCAGTTGTGGAAAATCAAGGGCATGCGGGAGCCAAAAATGATAAGGAATACCTTTCGAAGAAATAGAACATGGCAAAAGTTTCATTGGCACTGCTCAGAGCCTCAGACATCATGACAAGCACAGCATCAATTCACACCGATAAAACAAGTGACCATTTCTAAAGCACAGCCTTCTCATTCACCTCCATCTCATCTCCATTACACTGCATGGACTTCACCAACCTTCTTATCACGGTGCTCCTCCTACTCGCTCCTCTGAAATACAAATCTGATGTTGCCACAGCAAGTGATGATGAAGACTTCTTCAAGACTTGTTCATCACATCGGTGCAGCAAGCATGGACCAGAGATCAGGTACCCGTTCCGGCTTTCGACACAACCTCCATCATGCGGCGCACCTGGGATGCAATTATCATGCTCTGGACAAGACACCATCCTGGATCACCCTGTTCTTGGTTCCTGCAAAGTGACAATGATATATTACAGGCATGTTATCATGAACGCCATCCCACTTGTAGATTCCTCACCTCATTGCCTACTTCACAAGTTTATATCAGTAAATCAATCAACTGCTGTGTACAGACCTCACACTTTAAAAGCTGCAAGTCTAGTAGGTTGTTCAAGAGATTCCATAGACACAAACCAATATAATAGTATAGTTGGCCCAACCTCTTGCCTCAGCCTCGCTAACAACGCAAGCCAGTTCTGGTATTTGGCATATCCCTATGAATATATGTCTATTCTTCCATTGGGCTGCACAATTGTTTCCAAAGACATCCCAATGCCCTACAGTTACGACAAAAATGGTCCAAACTTTGACATCTCAATCTTCACCGAAACAGCAAAAAGAGTCATCAGCACTGGTGAGACTGTATTCACTTGGTACTCAAGTAACGTTACTAGTATTTGCCAACAATGTGAACATGAAGGTCGGCGTTGTGGCTTTAGCTCTCAAAGGGATCAAGCATTCTGCCAGCATCATAGTATGTCTCTTTCTCAAGTATAAATTCAGTTTCACTATGATGACTTGTTTTAGTTTGGAATTCTCACTTCTCCATCTATTACATCTCTTATTTCTCGAGTATTCAGTTTTCAAACTACCCAGGATATTTTTCACAAATAGTCAAACTATCCAGCAAACTGTGAATCAGCCAAAGGCTAGCTTGGACGAACATTTTGGTTCTAGGTTCACAACTGCAATTTTTCTCAAAGAAAATTTCATCAAGAGACGATAATGTCTGATCATTATGAAAATCAATTTTTTTTTGTAAAATTCTCATAGAAAAGGTTATAAGCAATTGCAGCACATTTTAGCATATAGCAATGATCTAAAGAGCAAGCTTTATTTGTATTACTCTAGACATTGGTATTAACTTAGAACATTAAATTAGATTCATATGGTTCAAATTTACTAGTTTGGAATACTGTAATAGCTAATTGAACATTAAAGTTAGATGCAAATGGCACCAATTTACTAGTTTGGATTACTGTGGGAGGTACTACGGCGAGAGTAGTATCTCAATTAGACCTTTTGATGCTAGAGATGCACTTGATAGTGCAGTGGCAAGGGGTGTATGGTTTTAACCCCGAGGTCCCGTGTTCAATCCCTAACACGTTCACAATTTCTTCTTAAAAAAGTTTGGAGGGACGTCTCTCCCTCCAAATCTCCTTTTTTTTAGACCTTTTGGTGCTAACACCATAGTCCTGATTGTTAGAAAGTTGCACCCATCGAGTAATCAAGAATGTACCAGCATAATTTACAGCATTAACAAGTTCCCACAGTTTTAACAGGGTAGAAACCAGAACATATCCATCTTACACAACGTTGATACGAAAGTTGTGCACATGCATATTTCCAGCGATGCTCTGTAAGATTATTGAATTAGGTAGTTTCTTCCTCCTAGGCACTATAGATAAAAATGTTTTACTTCTATGGTTAAGACAAGAAGCCTCCTTATCCTATTTCTATATGACAATGCCAAATAAACAAGCCATCTAACAATCAGGAATTAATTGTTTCTAGGAAAAATTATAGGTGTTTCTCTCGATTTATTTCATCCATAAATCATGTCATAACTAATAACCTTTCTTCCTATGTCCAGGTCCGCGTGTCACAATCATTGCAGGTAAGCAACTAATTTTTTTTCTTCATTCTTCCTGAACTGCTCATTCTGTAGAATCATTGCCTTTTCTCCAAGTGCAACTAGCTGAATTTCTCTCTTTTTTTACTCAGTAACATCATCTGTAGGCACATTTATAGTTCTTTCATTAATTGTGGCCACTGCACTCTACATCTCCTTGAAGTCAAGGTACAATGAAGAGATACATTTGAAAGTCGAAATGTTTCTGAAGACATATGGCACATCAAAACCCACAAGGTACACATTCTCCGAAGTTAAGAAGATAGCAAGGCGGTTCAAGGACAAATTGGGCCATGGTGCATTTGGAACTGTATATAAAGGTGAGCTACTGAATGGAGTTCCTGTGGCTGTTAAGATGCTAGAAAACTCTGTAGGAGAGGGACAAGAGTTCATCAATGAAGTCGCAACCATTGGGCGAATTCACCATGCAAACATTGTCCGCCTCCTAGGCTTTTGCTCTGAAGGAACACGGCAGGCTTTAATATATGAATTCATGCCCAATGAATCATTGGAGAAATATATATTCCCACATGGTTCTAATATTTCAAGAGAACTTCTAGTACCAGACAAAATGCTAGATATTGCATTAGGCATCGCCCGAGGAATGGAGTACCTGCACCAAGGGTGCAATCAGCGCATTCTCCATTTTGACATCAAGCCTCACAACATACTGTTGGACTACAGCTTCAATCCAAAGATTTCAGACTTTGGGCTTGCCAAGCTATGTGCAAGAGATCAAAGCATTGTCACATTGACTGCAGCAAGAGGCACAATGGGCTATATTGCACCAGAACTATATTCTCGGAATTTTGGAGCAATTTCATATAAGTCGGATGTCTACAGCTTTGGCATGCTGGTGTTAGAAATGGTGAGTGGGAGGAGGAACACAGAACCAACCGTTGAGAACCAAAATGAGTTCTACTTTCCTGAGTGGATATATGAGAGAGTTATGAATGGGCAGGACCTGGTGCTTACCATGGAGACAACACAAGGCGAGAAAGAAATGGTGAGACAGCTAGCTATTGTAGCGTTATGGTGCATTCAGTGGAACCCAAAAAACCGGCCCTCAATGACAAAGGTGGTAAACATGTTGACGGGGAGGTTGCAGAATCTGCAGGTGCCCCCTAAGCCCTTTACATCGTCTCAAAATCAACTTGTGATTTAGATCATGAGACCGCATCGCCATGGTTTGGACTTTGGAGACCAGCAAAGCAATGGAGCTTGGCCAGCATTTCCTATAAAAAGGCATCACCATGGTTTGGTGCCTGAGTGAGAGATATGCTTAATCCACATATCAGAAAATAGTTCTTAGTGAGCTGAAGCATGCACATATAGTGTTTGATTATTAAACTAAACTGGGCAACCAGATATATGATATATCACCATGTACTCTTGTAATTTGCAACATATCTCAATGGATTTAATTTGCAATATAATAATAGTTGGAAGATGACAACTAAATTACCTTATTCCATCGTTGATGCTAGTCCACTAATCATCCTTGCTGAACACCAACAATAAGGTCATATTTACTCCCAGTGCTGCATTTTCTTTTCAAGATAAAAAAAGAAGTGCTGCATCATCCAGAAGAGGAAAAAAAATAAAAATAACAAAGGAAGGAAGCTAAGCAAAGGGATTATTACCAAGGCAGCGAGGCTCTGGATGGACATGGACTAATAATGTGGGAGACGGAGGTGGTGTGAGCGACTTGAGAAGACGAAACATGTGGCATCAGGCTTGGTGGATTCGACCGGATCTTTGCCGGCCGTCAGCGCCACCATTGAAGACACGGTAGCAACAACAGATGGCGCCATGGCGGTACGGGCGACGGCGAGGCTTGGTCACGCACTCTCGCATATGCCGGGAGGAAACGGCAGCTTACCCATCTGTCTACGGAGGCGAGAAGCGGCGGCGGAGGCGGCTCGCGGAACGGCATACCGCCGCATTAACCGGAGCTCTCGCCGGGAATAGTGGTGAGGGACGGAGGAAGAAGAAGGGGATTTTTTTTTTTTTGTTGGAGAGAGGGAGAAGGGGATGATTGCTCGGCCACAGGCCGGTTAGGATGGCCCACCTAATCCCCCGCGGCCCATGAACGGTGGATTGATCTGACGGTTCACATGTAGCCCAATTCACGAGCAAATATAATGCGGAATAAGTTCACCAGAGGTCCCTCAACTTAACAGCGTGATTTTTTTGAGGTCCCTTAACCACAAAACCAGAAATGTCTACCCCTAAACTTACTCAAACCGTTCACCAGAGGTCCCTCGGCGGTATTTTTGCCCGGTTTTGCTGACGTGGCATCCTAGTCAGCAAAAAAATTTAAAAAAAGTACGTAGAGCCCACATGTCAGCTGCACATCTTTTTTTCTTCTCTTTTCTTCTCCTTCTCTTCTCTTTTCTTCTCTCCCCTCTCTTCTCCTTCAGGCTGGCGGCGGACGCAGCTGCGATGGCCGTGCTCGGCCGCCACCACCGCCGTACCCCCGCGGGTGGCCGACGATGCTAGGAGAGGCACCACCGGCGGGAGAAGGGGAAGAGGCAGAGGAAGAGATTGTTTCTTGGTCGCCGGCCGCCTCCCCCTCCCTCCCAAACTCGCTGGCCGCCGCGCTCGCTCGCCGCTGCTCTGCCGCGCGCTCGCGCTCCGCTACTCTGTCCGCGGCCTGCTCGCGCTCCACTGCTCGACCCGCCGCTGCGCTCGCACCTTCCGCTGCTCCGTTGCCACGCTCGCCCTCGTTGCGCCGCCCGCATCCGTGCTCGCCGCTCCGCCGCCGCGCTCCGCTGCCTCCGCTCAGCCGCCGGACGACCGCACCGCGTAGCCTCGCCCATGGCGACGACGACGGTAGAGAGCCGATGACGACGGCGGCCACGGCGCGCGGCTCCTCCGTCCGCAGCCTGAAGGAGAAGAGAAGAGAGAGAAAAGAAAAGAAAAGAGAAGAGGAGAGAAGAAGAAAAAAAGATGTGCAGCTGACATGTGGGCCCCACGTGTTTTTTAAAATTTTTTTTGCTGACTAAGATGCCACGTCAGCAAAACCGGGCAAAAATATTGCCAAGGGACCTCCGGTGAACGGTTTGAGTGAGTTTAGGGGTACACATTTCTGGTTTTGTGGTTAAGGGACCTCAAAAAATCTCGCTGTTAAGTTGAGGGAACTCCGGTGAACTTATTCCAATATAATGCTCCAACTTATATTCACTGGAGCCAGCAGCCAGTACTCCCTCCGTTTCATATTAGAGATTTGCTTCAGTCCAGCAAAAAAAACCTTGAGATACCGGTGTCTCGCAGTACTAAATCGTTTTTATCTTAGATATAGTTGGCAGGATGGGCATTGTTACCTCCTTTCACTTTTTTCCGAATTTTTTTTGAAAATAATATTATTTTAATGGAAAATCGCAAAATTATAGGTCGGCTAGACGAAATCGCAAGTTTAGCGCCCTGTCGAACTGGGGCAGTTCGATAGGTACCCCTGTCGAACTGGGGCAGTTCGACAGGGTACTGTCGAACTGGGGCAGTTCGACAGGGTACTGTCGAACTGGGGCAGTTCGACAGGGTACTGTCGAACTGGGGCATGCTAGTTGTCCAAGAAAAAAAATAAAAAAGTACTTGCTACAGTGCCCGATAGGGACGTATCGAACAGGGGGAGTTCGATAGGGCGCGTGGCATGGACGTATCGAACAGCGGAAGTTCGATAGGCAGTGTCGCTACAGTGCCGCTACAGTGTGCGCTACAGTGTGCTACAGTGTTTTTCCTTTTTTTTAAGTTATTTTATTACCTGTCGAACTGGGGCAGTTCGACAGGTACCCTTTCGAACTGGGGCAGTTCGACAGGTACCCTTTCGAACTGGGGCAGTTCGACAGGTACCCTTTCGAACTGCCTCCGTTCGACAGGGTGCTAAACTTGCGATTTCGTCTAACTGACCTATAATTTTGCGATTTTCCATTAAAATAATATTATTTCCAAAAAAAACTCCTTTTTTCCTAGTCAAGTTTGACTAAGATTATAAAAACAATTAGGAACATCTAAAATACCAAACTAGTTTCATAAAATTTAACATTGAATATATTTTGATAATATGTTTGTTTTGTGTTGAAAATAGTACTCCCTCCGTCCCAAAATATAAGCATTTTTAGCATAGTGTCAAGTCAAACATTTTTAACTTTAACTATTAATAGGAAAAAATAAAAAAAAAGATCTATCAAGTAAAATTGATGTTACTAGATTTATTATTAAACAAACTATCGTAATATGCAACTCTTTTTATTTAAAACATTTTACTTTTATAGATATTGTTGGTCAAAATAGTATCTCGAAGACCGTGTCGAAATCCAAAAATGCTTATATTTTGGGACGGAGGGAGTAATATATTTTTCTATAAACTTGGTCAAACTTGATTAAGAAAAAAAAATCAAACGACTTATAATATAAAACGAAGGGAGTACAAAACACTTGCTTATTTATAGTAGTATTTCATACAAAAAAAATAAATTTATGCATTAGTATCTATCAATTGTTGGATCCATGAATATGGAATAATAACAACCATTATTTATGAACGCTAATTGCTAGCTAGATACATCATTTTCATCACAGCCTAACTACTGGCTAATTCAGCTATTCCATCGTCCTCTTCTGAAATTGCAGAAAGATCGGAGGAGTGAAAGTAAGAATCCATGACTTGTGGAGGTGGCATGCCATCCCCATCGCAGAAAAATGGTCTCAGAGGCACTTGCAGCGCATCCACACCCCCTTCGAGCATCTCTATTGCCTCACTCATCGTCGGCCGATCGTGTGATTTCATCTGAATGCACCACAGCCCAACAAGGCACAACTTCCTCTCTAGCTCATGCATGTTGGCAAAGTTGGATATCTCATCAACTTGTTGATCTGCTATTAGCTTATCATAAACCCATGATGGGTAGTATGCCTTACTTGCACTGGAATCTGCATTTGGATCTGCATTCCTTCGTCCTCCGACCATCTCAAGCAGCAACATTCCAAAACTGTAAACATCAGACTTGCCAGATATGATGCCAAAGCTCCGGGAAACCATCTCAGGAGCCATATAACCCACTGTTCCTCGTAAAGCCCTATCTGACACAAAGCTCTTGTCCCTTGGGTACAGTTTAGCGAGGCCGAAATCAGCAACTTTTGGAACAAAGTTATCATCAAGAAGGATGTTGTGTGGCTTGATGTCAAAGTGTAGAATCTGCATATCACACCCTTGGTGCAGGTAGTTGATCCCCCTAGCAATGCCTAGAGCAATCTCATTGAGCTTGTCCCATGAGAATCTTCTCTCAGATGAGAAGATGTGTTTGTCTAGAGATCCCCTAGGCATGTACTCGTAAACCAAGGCCCTTCTCATTTCCTCGGAGCAGAACCCCACCAAACGCACAACATTAACATGGTGAATCCTACCAATGGTGGCAACTTCACTGATGAATTCTTCGCCGTTGCAATTAGAGTAGCCATTCAGTATCTTGATAGCCACATGGAGATCACCCGGGAGCAGCACACCCTTGTATACAGAACCGTAGCCTCCTTGGCCCAACTTTTCTCTGAAATGCCCTGTGATTGCGATAATGTCGGTGTAGGCATACCTTGTCGGACCGAGCATTTGTTGCATTCGGAGAAATTTCTCGACTGCATCAATTGTTATCATTCTTTTCAAGTACTTTTGTGCAAGGAAAATCAATACAACCAAGGGTGCCAACAGATACCTGCATGGTGCTGCGTACACAAGTTCGATCGGTTGGAATCAAGAAATTGTAACATGCGTATATAACTAGATGAAACACTAGAAACAATTGAGATGATGTGGGTTTATAAGAAAAGATAGAAATAACATTAACTATTAATGGGATAAATTATATAGGGTAGGGACGTAGGGTCCTGGTCGATGACTTACGTACGTGCAAGCATCGTCCAGAACATCAAGGCATACAATATTATGCCCAAGAGTATATTGTATGGCGATGGAATTTTAGCAGTTGCGCAATCCATGAAATTTTCAGTCACCGAAAGACTAAACCAATCTGAAAGTTTGCCTATACCAGTCGATTTGCTGCATGCAAGAACAAAGACGGATAGATTCAGGCATATATAAATGGAGGGGAGGTCGGAGGAATGTGCAATCAGATATTATGTCAAGATCAGGAACTCACGGAATCGACTCCATTAGGCAATCCTTGAAGCTTCGATTTCTATGGTGTCTGAAAGGAAATTGGACGCGGAATCCTTTCCTCATGAATTTTACTACGTCTTCATAACTTAAGCTATCAACTGCTGGTGCTACACGACCCATACCATCCAAAGGAGTCATGGCTAGGTAACCACAGGAAGGCTCGAGGTTTTCAATGTAACAGGACAATCTGCCAGTCAAGACATAAACGAAGGAGCTGCTGGTGCCCATGCAAGCAACAGGACTGTACATAACATTGTTGTTTATTTCCTTGGAACAGTTGACAAAGAAAGACCACCAACGTGAAGCAGGGTCCAATTCGACTTGGATGTTGTATGGCGATGATTCTTCGTCGTCACTACTAACATCATCATAGTAATAAGGAATGCGTTTCCAGCGAGGAAGAGGGCAATTGTTACGTGAATCCGAGATGTTGGCGTCGACAACCCAGAAGGTGGAATCACTGTAGTCGATGCCTGTCACAAAGTATGTTCCGTTGTCGATCTGAATTGTAGCCTTGTCATCGGTGCAAGTCAGCTCATACGATGCAACACCGCACTCGTAGCCTCGCCGGTGGAAAGGAGACGCGACTTTGCTAAGATGGCCGCAGGTGAACGGAGGGCATGCAGGTATTCCATGAATTAAAGGCCATTCTATATCCGGATCTGGGACGACAAATCGAAGCACACACAGGACAGAGAAAACTTGCAGGGCAGTCGAGCGACGGAAGAACGGACCAGGAATCACCATGGTGTGGTGTAGCAGCTAGCTTAGCTAGTTCGCCCAAGCAGAGCATGCAGGAGCTAGGTAGTGACACGGATGATATTACAAGTGTCTATCTCCGCGCGGTGCGTGCACTGTATGTAAGCAGTGTAACTAGAGTTTTCCAAGCAAATAAATTTAGCTAAAAAGCAACACTTCATGTCCTTGACTGTGATGCTGTTGACTTGGAAGTCTTTGATGACACGAAGCAGATTAGTCTAAGGCGTAGCATTCAGTTCCACAAGAGTCTACCGTGCTGCATCGGTCACCGTTTATTGATGTTGCCGAAAAAGATTGGTCAAAGTGCACACATTACCAGTCGCCCGCTATCACGAGCCTTATCATTAGGGGAACAGTGCTTCACGGGTTAATTTCAAAAGCCCCCAAAGCTAACATAGTGTATTCTTCTAAAACTATCTTAACAGGACGCGACTACACCGAGAGTGCTAGCTATATGGTGCTAAAGAGAGACACCTTTCTTTCCAAAAAAAAAAAGCTACTTATACACTCAATATCTATGTATTTTTTTCCTTCTTAGAGAAGTTTCTCTTAAATTACTTATCTGATTTATAATCCGATTACGCCGTTGTGTTTATTGCAATTAAATCTTTACAACAAGATCTCACATGATTATATTTTGATGAAAAATCACAAATTACTTTTATGATATGTCTAAATTACGTTTACATTTCACTAAGTTACTTCTTAAACTATAAAAGTAAATTCAGTAAGTCTAAAAGTAATTTATATATATTATAGAAGTAACTTAGAACAAACGAAGATAACTTTGGCATGTTATTTGAAGTAAATCCGTTGTATAGATAAAAACATGACTCTATCTAAAAATTAAATTAATCAGCACAAATTATGGAATTTACTAAAAAGTCATATTTTATCCCTACAACGAATTTACTTCTAATGTCGTGACAAAGTTACTTACGTTTTGTTTTAAGTTACTTTTAGAATATATGTAAATTACTTTTAGACTTTATTGAATTTACTTTTATGTCTAAGAAGTAATTTAGTCCAATCTTGTCACGTCCTGATAAATTCATCCCGAAATAAAAATCATCTTCTAAAAGGAATAATAGAATTAATTAAAATTCGAAAAGAAATTGGCAAACCTTAAAATACGTACAAGAAAAATTCAAATGTGACCCGGAGAATTTTTGTTAAATTCTCCTTGGTCTAAAAGGAGCCCTCAAATTTTAGTGGAATTTTCAGAGCACAAATAATAATTGAGAAGAAATAAACAAAGTTGAAAAGGTTTATAAAAAGAAAAACCCTAAAAGAAGTCTTCTTTCCCCCCCTTTCCCTTCTTGGGCCGGCTCGGCCCACTTCTCTCCCTCCCTCTTTCTCCTCTCCCCCGCGGCCCATCGGCCTCCCCCGCGCGAGCGCCGCTGACAGGCGGGCCCGCCCGCCACCCTCGCTGACGGGTGGGACCCACCTGTCATCGCCTACCTCCCGCCGCGCCGCCGCCGCGCCCGTGCCCTAGCGCCGCCGCCGCCGCGGATTCCGCCGCATCCCGCCTTCCCCGCGCGCCTTAATGAGGGGGGAATCATTCCCCGCGATTCCCTCTCCCGTTTCCCCCGCTTTTCCCTCTCTCTCTCCCTCGGATTCGTTCGAATCGCGCCCGCAATCCTCGCCGACGTCATCAATGGAGCCCGAGAACTCCGCGGCCGGTTTCCTTTCTCTCCGGCCGCCTTCTCTCCCTTCCGACGCTATAAAATCGTCCCTCGTGCTTCGCTCTTCCGTTTCCGCCACTCGCCGCTCGCTCTCGCCGTCGGTTTCGTGCCCGCGCCGTGCTCCTCTCTCTCCGCCGTCGCCGCCGAGCTCCGTTTCGCCGCCGTCGTCGCTCCGGTCCTCCTCCCGACTCGGCGCCACCTCCATCGGCTTCGCCGAGTGATTGCCGACCCCGTCCGCCGCTCCGCTTCGCCCGCCGACCGCCGGAGCACCGTCGTCATCGTCATCCCGAACCGCGCCGCCGCTTTCCTCCGCTCCGGCCGCCGTTCTCGTCGTCGTCGTTGTCCCGGGGTGAGCCGAAGACCGCCGTTCGCTTTCCCCCTTCTCTCCGCTCTCTCGGGCGCCGCTCCGCCGCGCCGATGGTCGCCGGCGGTGACCATCGGGGCGCGGGCGCGTCCCCCTCCCGTCGGCCGTGCCGGCGAGGCCGCCTTCGGGCGCGCCCTCGCGGCTGCCAAGTGGGCCCGGCCGTCAGCCGCCCGCGCCCGGTCCACCGTGGACCGAGCGGCTGACGCGTGGGCCCCCACTCCCGTGGACCCGGTCCGCGCGCCCTCCCTCGGCTGACGCAATAAATGGGATTTTTAATTAAAATTTAAATGAAGAAATTCGCAAATATCCATTTAAAGAGCATATAAACTTCAAATGGCCATAACTTGGCCATTTGAACTCGGAATTGGACCGTTCAAGTCTCTAATTTTTCCTTAAGAAGTCAAGAACCCATTTTTGTGCTTTGTTCCTGCTTGTTGTATGGAGTTTATTAGAGTAAAAGCCTTTTCTTTTCCGTTGGTCGTGTAGACGCTGCAGCTTCGGAAGATCCGCTCTTCGTGGAAGTTGAAGCCGACGTTTGGGAAAGCGAGCAAGGCAAGTCACATCACCCTTGAGCATATTGAATCCCAGTTTATAAAATTATTTTGATTTAAATTATTGTATTATCGCTTTGTTTAAATTCCCGCGTTACCACTGTTTTATTTAGCCATGCCTATTTACCTTTGTTATGACATTATTATTGCTATTGTTATTATTACCTTGTTCACCCTAGGAAAATAAAAACCCCAACTAGTGGGTACTCTATTCATGGTTCCACTAGTATAAATTTAGGTAGATGCTTCGCTGAATAATTAGGCAACATTAGGTGGTTTTATAACTTTAGACTTTGGGAATTCTCATATCATTTGGACACTATGGAATTGTTGGATTATGGTGGAATTGGACATACACCTCTCTTCCTCTTTCAAAACCCCTAAAACCTGTTTTCGGTGGGGTTTGGGTGCATGCCAGTTGTGGGAAGTAGCACCCCGGCCACTATAAGGATTAAGCTCGGGCCTCTGTTGCAAAGCACTACCGTACTAACCACATGTCTAATGGGTAAGGCTTAACTCGGTGCTCAGTCTAGTCCTGAACAAAAGGACACGGATAGAGATGGATGAAGTCGTTGCGACGATGGATATCTCTGAGGCAAATGAAGGCTACGCGAGCTGCGGCTCGGTAATCGAGATGTCTAGGCAAATGAAGACTACACGGGTCGGTGCCCGTTAGTCGAGATGCCATGGCACTGGACTAGTACGCGGGTGGTCTCACCCCTATGTGTGTGGCGCACCCGGTCTAGATCTTGTTGCTAGGGGCTCAACCCTGGCCTGCCTGTCCCGGGATACCGGCCGTAGGCAGGGTTGGGTCGGTACTTTTGTTCACGGCTAGGATGGGTGAAGGGTTATGTCACATCTTTACGACGGGTTCCAAGGCCATGGAATGCGGAGTAAAGATGTGTCTTGTGGGTAAAGATGTACACCTCTGATCAGAGTAAATCTATTCGAATAGCCGAGCCCTCGGATATGGGCAAGCCTAGCAATGTACCCAAGTCAGTGTTTTAATTCTTAAAATTTGCTCAACAACTAAAATATGGAATGGTTGGCCTGGGTTGGCTTGGGACGAGCTGGAACCCAGGTCGGGTTGCCAGTTCGGTCCAAACTATCGTAGGCCTTGGGTTAAGGCAGGTTCGTGAGGGTTCACGGCCTTGTTTAATAATACTGTGTAGCTCTAGGATCGTCTTTACAAAATGGCTTTGGGCAACTAAGTGACTTTTAAATGCTGTTTACTGCAAAACCTAACCCCTATTATTATCCCCTTGTACCCCCCCCTTGCATTAATCATGCATCTGCCGGTGTGGCTTGCTGAGTACTGTGGTTGTACTCATTCTTGCTCAATCCTTCCCCTCTTCAGTAAGAGAAGCTTTGGAGAAGATGTCTTAGGTGGAGTCCTGGCTTATACCCCAGTTGAGCGCCTGTGAAGATGGAGCCGTAGGCCCGCTAGTCCGCTGCTGTTTATTTTTGATTGTCAGGCCTTAAGTGCCTTTGTAATAATGTAAATATTATCGATATAATAAAGATGTGTCTTTTATATCATGTTTGTGTGGTGTACCCCGGCTTTTCCTGGGACGGGGATTAATACACTAGCGTTCGGGAAAAGGCAATTTTCCCGGTCGCGACAAATCTAAAAGTAACTTATATATATATATGATAAAAGTAACTTATGTATATAATAAAAGTAATTTACAAATATAATTTTTTTTTCATCGTAAGTGAAGATTTAATTGTAACGAACATAATAGCGTAATCGGATTGTAGATCAGATAAGTAATTTGAGAGGAAACTTTATTTGAACAAGAAAAAGGCACCCACGTGAACTTTATTTGAAAGGAAAAAGACATCCCCGTGGATGGACATCATGACGACGTGCACAGTTAGACGGCTCTCAGATGCGTCGTGCTATAGAGCTAAACCGAGAACGCTCTCGAAATAGATTTCGCGATCTTAATAGTATACTTCCTCCGTTTCATAATATAAGCCATTTTAACATTGTCCATATTCATATAGATATTAATAAATCTAAATATATATATGAATGTAAACAATGCTAGAAAGTTTTACATTATTAAATGGAAGGAATAATAAATGATGTATACTGCTTATGCACGTTCCTATAAAAAGGCATCGCCATGCATGGTTTGGTGCCTGAGCGAGAGAAATGGTTAATCCACATATAGTAAATTAGTTGTCAGTGAGCTGAAGCATGCACATATAGTGTTTGATTATTAAACTAAACTGGGCAACTGGGTTTGTGATATATCAACATGTACTCATGTAATTCTGGTAGCTAGCAACATATCTCAAATTCTCAATGTATTTAATTTGCAATATAATAATAGCTGGAAGATGACAACTAAATTACCTTATTCCATCGTTGCTGCTACTCCACTAATCATCCTTGCTGAAGACCACGATAAGGTGTGGTATTAGCTCTCCTATCCCTTCAGCTCAAGAG